AAAGAGCGTCACAGACAAAAATAAGCTAAAGAAATTTATCACCACCAAGCCAGAATTACAAGAAATTTTGGAGGGACTTCTTCAAAAAGAAAAAAACATGTATCAAAAACAGAAATAAAAATGGTAAGAACTACATTCCTATCAATAAGTACCTCAAATGGAAAAGAATTAAGTGCTCCAACTAAATGAGTGGATAAATGGAAAGGAAAATAAGACCTCTATATGCTGCCTACAAGAGACTCACTTCAAATTAAAAGACACACACAGACTAAAAGGAAGGGAATGGAAAAACATATTGCTTTGATGGATCTAGAAGGTATTTAAATCAAACAGGGAAAGACAAATGCCACATGATTTAACTTATATGTGGAATCTGAAAAACTGAATAAACAAACTATACTGAAACAAGCCTATAAATAGAGAACAGATTGATGGTTGCCAAGTGGGAAGTAATTGATGAGATGGGTGAAAAATGTAAAGGGATTAAGAAGTACAAATTTCCAGTTATAAAATTAGTCATAAGGGTGTAAAATACAGCATAGGGAATATATCACTAGTGTTGTAATAACTATATATGATATAAACTGGGTACTAGCCTTATTGGGGGGTCCACTTTGAAGTTATATAAATGTCTAGTCTCTATGCTGTACATCTAAAACCAATATGATATTGCATGTCAACTGTAATTGAAAAAAAAAATAGATTCTAGTTTAGGGAGGGGAAAGAATATGGTGGACTAAGTAAAAGCAGGGTTTCTCCTCCTCCCAGGTCCACATTGAAATTACAACCAAATTATAGAATTATCACCGTGGAGAATCACCTGAAGTTCAGCTGATGGTAACACATACATCTGATAATATAAAGGAGCCACATGAAAGCCTGTAAGAGGGACAAAATCGCAAATTGGGCTGGACCTGTCCATGTGGGTAGTAGAGGATCACCAGGAAGAAGAGCGAGGCTGCAGAGGCTCTCCTGAAGCAGAGAAGTGTCCTGTCTCATTTGGAGGCTCCCCAGCCCAGTGTCTCAGCCCAGGGAAGAGGAGATTCCAATAATTCTGACTGTAAAAACCTCAGGGGATTCTGACCATCTGGGTGAGACTGAAGGAGACTGAAATCCTAGATACCCTTTCGAAGGACCTGTGCACAGGCTTTCTGACCTGCAGACATTCTCCCAGGACATTAGCAGTGGGTCAGAGACTAGCGCAGGATCCATACCAAGAAAGTCTACTTTACATGGCGCCAGAACGAAGGCTGGAAGTGCAGCCAACATTGTGCCTTAGTCTGGCCCCTCTACCTGGCAATCTATAGACCACATCAGCTTGACTGTGCAAACCCTTCCCACAGAGCCATTAGAAAGCACTGGTCTGAGGAAGTCAGCCCTTCCCACCCAACCTGCAGACTGCCAGGGCTTTCCTTGCTGGATGGCTGCCATGCCCTGCACCTATTCAGGACCAAACATTCTCATCTGGCAGCCAGTGCTGTGAATCCCATTTTTGAGACAAGGTTAGGCAGATCACTGCTGCCAACAGGAACTAGGGTGGATCCTAGGGAAATGTGGGCTAGTCCCAGACAGCAGCTGGTCTTGCTGTGATCTGAGACTTCTGCTAGAATGCAGGAATAGTTACCAATGTTGCATCAAGACTGAGGCTGTATTGATCTGACTACCATTGTCTCTCTGAGACTCCACACTACCCTAACCACAAATTGCCCCAGGTGGCCCATCAACAGTAAATTACCACAGCCCTGCCCCTGCCCTTTATTCTCCCAATCCACACAAGCAACAAACTTTGGTTAGCACAAGGCAGGCACTGTATGGAAATCAGTGGCAAGCAGACCTCTGTTGCCTGCAAGAGTTGCAATATTGTGTCTGGGGAGTGCAGTGAACTGTGGGGTCGCCCCAGATGGCAGCTGGTCTCACTGTGATCAGTGACAACAGTGGGAACGCCCAAGCACAGAAGTTGCAACAAAACTGAGGATGTATCGACTTGGCGGCCCTTGTCTCCCTGAGATCCTGCTTCATGTAAGCCACAAAGTGCCTACAGCCCATTGACTGGCAGCCTTCCATGCCCTGATTGGCTCTGGGGTTGTGCAGTCTGTGCAGGGAACAGACTTTAGCTAGCATAGTGAACAAATTTCAGGCCTACCTCACAAAACAAGAAAAAGCTCAAATAATCAATTT